CAACTTGGGCCAGTGAAGCAACATCCTCCACAACTAGACTGAAGAACAAAAGGACAGCAACTTGTCTGTTCCCTTCCCCCCGATTTCCCAGTGCTGTTCCCCTCCTCCAATTCCCCAATAAAATCTTAAAAAAAAAAAAGATTATGAGGGAAAAGGTTTTCTGCATGCTACAATTTGATTCTTGGCTTTTCAAGAAATGGTCACTGTCTTTAATGTATTTACTGAATAAATGGAGGAAAGAAGAAAAAAAAGTTGTATATAAGAATAATGGAGGGGCCGGCTGAGTGGCTCAGCTGGTTAAGAGCTCACTTGGGAGCACCAGCTCTGAGCAGTAGGGCTGCGGTTCGGATCCCACATTGAGGGCCAGTGATGCTCGCCCTCTACAGCTTAGATGATGAACAACAACAGCTCAACCTGGAGCTGGGCTGCTGTGAGTCGCCGGCGATGGCGTAGGCTGCAGCAGGGCTGCAGTGGGCTGTCGTGAGCTATGTGAGTGGCTGGCAGCCAGCGTGAGCGGCCGGCAGCCGGTGTGAGCTTTCAGGAGCCGCTGTGAGCGGCCGACAAATGACCGGCGACCGATTGCCTCACCTGGGAAGAGCACAATGATCATACCAACATGGGCCAGTGAAGCGACATCCTCTACAACTAGACTGAAGAACAAAAACAGCAAATTGTCTACCTGTCTGTTCCCCTTCCCTGATTCCCCAACGCTGTTCTCTTCCCTCCAATTCCCCAATAAAATCTTTAAAAAAAACAAAAAAGGATAATGGAATCAGCCAGCCGAGTGGCTCAGATGGTTAAGAGCTCACTCAAGAGTGCGAGCTGTGAGCAACAGTGGTTCAATGCCTGGCCCGAGCTGAGCTGCCGCTGAGCTGCCAACAGGTGGCAGGATGGCTCAGCTAAAAAAAAAAAATGAAATCAACTAACTTTCAGGTGAACAACAGATAGTAACATTTGAAATGCAGAGGAATTGTTTTTAAAAAATAGAGCAGCACAAGGACTAATGGAAGATGTTTTAGTGAAAGTATACTCCAAGAAGTGCTGCCCAGAATTTGCTTTTCGGATAGATGGATTGTACTCTGTGTCTTGAGCACAGATGGGGCAGGAGTGGTTTTGGTCTAACCATGTGCGGTACAGGTGTGTGTGGCAAGGTGGCCCATGGGCCTTGGAAGGGTGTGGTGCCTGTAGGCACAGAGATCAGGCTCGTCTGGGCCTGCCTGTGCATGCCAAGACCAGCCGTGGCAAGCCCACATGCCATCCGAGCACCCTCTGTGGTGCACCCCTGGCTTCCAAGTCCAGTGCCCTTGATGGCAGGATGGCACCGGGGAGCTCACCACCTGGTTACATGGGCATTCTATTCAACTACAGCGGTCATGAGCTCAACTCCAGGCTCAGAGCCCATAGGGCTCATTTTCCATGATTCTAGGGCTGAGGCAAGGACCAAGGGAGTCGTGGCTGGGAGGGAGCCCTGAGCCGGACAAGTGGGAGCAGGGAAGGCAGGCAGCCATGGGCTGTAGGACGGGACACAGTGGAAGCCTGCACCAGCAATCTAGGTGGGCCCAGACTACTTGGGCAGCTAACACCTCATAAGGCCTTGGTTTCCCTTGGTGAGCTGGTCCCTTCCTTGCAGCCTTTTGTGGGGGTTAAATGAGATCATGTTTGTATGTTGTGATGCAATATGAGACTGTGGGTGTGATCAGTGGTGGTCATGAATCAGTGACATCAAATCACCTACAGTGCTTGGACAGAATGGGAGGAGAAAGGGCTGAGCTTCAGGATCTGACCTGAGCAGCAGTCAGGGTACGCCGGGCCGACCGGCTGTGGGGAGGCCAGACGCTGGTCACTGCCGGCAGCACCGCCGTCACGCCCTCTGAGCCCTGTCTGCTTCTCCTGCAGGTGGTTCTTCACTTCCGTGGCCTCCGCCTTCACCGGTGTGCTCTGCGTCATTGTCATTGCGATGTACATTTTCATCCAGCACTGGGTCAACCCCGGGGGGCTCCGTGTGGACCCCCACTATGGAAGTAGGTGCCGTTCCCCAGGTTTGCTTTCCCTCGGGTTTCCGTGTGTCTTGGCTGCACCCCCAGCTGTCTTCCAGGGGTGTTCAGCCTGCTTGTGGAGGGGGGACTGGTGCTCCCCTGGGGCTGAGGGACTAGAGTCCACACATCAGACCAGCAGCTTAAGCCCCTAGGGAGTGTCAGGCATCAGAGAGTGGGGTCTGCACCCCAGCCCTAGCATCTGGACATGGATGGGAGCAGTGTGGGGCATGAGGCAGAGCTGTCCGGGGATGGGGCCTGGGGTGATGCGTAGTGCAAGTGAATGGCAGGGCTCAGTGAGACTAGGCCCCTCAGCAGGAAGAGCTGCCCAGGCCTCTGCCCACCACCCTCCCTGACACTCCCCACATGCGGCCTCAGCCAGAGGGGCTGTCAGTGCCTGGCAGCCTAGGAACGTTCCTTGGAGGACAACCTCTGAGAGCTGTAAACAGAAGGCCCTGCAGCGCCTCTGTCCACGCTGGTGGCTGCTGGTTCCACACCTGGCCCCACAGATGGAATGAGAACGTGGCTCGCCCCTGATCACACCAGGTGCCCAGGGCATGGCCTTTGTGCATTTTTCTTGACCTTTGTCAACGATCGAGTGTCCTTTTGACTGGGCCCCTCACTTTGCTGGCTCTGAGGAGATCAGGAGAGGGCAGGAGGTGCTGGGTGGCCGCAGCATATGGGCAGGGTGAGATGAGGCTGGCCTCTCTGGAACTTGCCGGTCCTAGAGCCATAGTGCGATTGATGGGCTTTAGGTGAATTTCTCGACTGTGGGCGGAGGCCACTTCCTGGGCTCACTGTTCTGGAAGATTCCACAGGGCTTCTGAACCTCTAGTTCCCCAGGATGCTTTGCTCTCATTGGTGGGTCCAGCCCAGCCCTACCATGTGGTGCTGCCACCCTGGGGCATCAGACTCCGCCAACAGCCACACAACACGGCCGTGAGTGGCCATCACCTTTGGGCACCACATAGGTACCTGGGTCCAAGCCCTTTCCTGGAGTTTCTTGTGGAGCAGAGACTTCAGCTGCTCCACCCACACGGCCTTCAAAACGTTTCTCCCATTTAACTTTTGGAAGCCATGTGGCTGGGAGCATCACAGCAGACTGCATCCTAGAAATGCCCCAAGGTGGTAGCTATAGCCTTCCAGTGCTACCTGAGAGTGGCTGGTGCAGAAAGGTGAGCGCCTGGTGAGGCTGTAGTCTGCAGGACAGGGTGGTGTTGGGGTGAGGCAGAGAGGTCAGGCTCTGCGACCTGGATGTAGTTCCCCTCTCCCAGCCTCACCTTCCAGAACCATAAGTGGAATCATAATGCCCACTGTAGTCAGAAGGGGCTGTAAGGGCACTTAGGTTAGGCAGGGCATATACCTAGGCAGTCAGGTGCTCACCTCGGCAGGCAGGTGCTCACCTGGGTAAGGAGGAAGGGCTCCTTGGACAGGCAGGTGCTCACTCAGGCTGGTATTGCCTCCCCTGCTTCCAAGCTCTGTCCCATGGTGCTCACCTGAGGAGAGTTGCTGCCATGTCAGCAGATGCTGGATGCAGGCATGTCTCCCTTGTCTCCACAGCCATTGGCAGTCAGGGCACGTGGCTGCTGTTCCTGCCTTTTTTCCCCGTGAGGACAAAGACACCAGTGGTCCTGAGCATCGAGGTGTTTGTGCTGCTGTTGGCCATCGTCAGCCTGATGGTTCTCGGGCACCTGTTCATTTTCCACATCTGCCTGCGTATGTGCCTCCCAAGCCCCCCTGTCCACATTGGCCGGTCTTTGTCCCCTTGTGTTCACAGATGTCCAAAGTCAGGCCCCCCCACCCCCCACCCCCACCCCAGGCCTCTGCCAGCAGTCAGCTCCAAGCCCAAAGGACAAACCAGCACTGAGAGGCAGCTGGGCAAGTTCCACCCTGAGGCCTGGGGAAAACACGAGAGATGGAAAAGCTGTAGGTTAACATGTTCAGAGAGAAATGGAATCTACGAGGCAGGACCAGGGCACCATGGAAAAAGAACAGGGGGAGTGAGAAAGCACCAACAAGAAATCCTAACCATGAAGACACTCAGCTCAGTGACAGCATGTCCACTAGGCAGACATGCTCGCTGCAGGAGGACTGGTGGCTTTCTCACATGCACATGGAGTGGCCGGTCGCATGCTCCATCGAGCCCCTAATAGGGAATAGGGGAGGTGTGACTTCCCCCACCCTGAAGCCTTTCCCTGGAAGTCATGATGGCTGCTCCCTAAGAGAAGGTGGATCCGGAAGGGCTGTGCCAGTTGGTCTAGTGTGGGTATGTCCCTAGCTGAGCCAGAGAAGTGCCCAAAACAGCGCCCGAAGGCCTGGTTGGCCAAGGCTGTTTCCAAAGCTGCTGAAAGCGCTGCAGGGGGAGAGGGGGGTGAGGGTTCAGGGGTGCACTTGACAGCACCCCAGCAGTGATATGCACCACAGCCTGCAGGGGACAAGCTGGGCAGGCAAGCCAGGCTGGGGGACTGCAGCAGCCACTCGATGTACATGATGAGTTCACAGGGATGAGAGAGGGGGCATTGGAGAACCCCAAATCCAAAGGACTTAATGGCCAACTGGAGATTTGAGGACAGAGAACTCTGGGGTTCTGACTTGGGCAACCACGAGGGTAGTGGTGCCACACTGACTGTGGTGGGCACGCTCAGGAGGAGACCCCCTGTGAAGGGACACACATACAAGCTCAGCACTGACCATGTCTAGTTTAGGGTCTTTAGACATCAAAGAATAGATTTCCAGGAAGAAGTTGGGATGTTAGTTATAGTAAAATAACCCTAAAATGTGGGCAAGTCAAACAGTGCATGCCTATTGCCTCGGTTTCCGTGGGTCAGGAGTCCAGCACAGCTTGGCGGGGTCTTCTGTGAGTCATCCGTCAAGTTGCTGGTAGGGGCTGTGTCTCATCTGACTGGGGAGGACGCTCCAGGATCCCCACCAGGTGGTCAGCAGGCTCAGTCCTCGTGAGTTCCTGGTCAGTGGCCTTCTTCCCTTGTGTGACGGAGCGTCTCACAACAGGACAGCTGGCATTATCAGCAACAAATGAGAGGATGAGAGAGAGAGAGCCGCAAGATGAAACCAGCCTCTGTAACCGTCACGGAGGTGACGTTCCACCAGGCAGCTTTTCTGCAAGTCACTAGGCCCAGCAGTCCAAAGGACAGGGTACAAAGGATGAACGCCCTGAAGGGGCCCTGCTGGGGACACAGAAGCTGTTGGCAGTGGGATGCTCTATTTTGATGCTTGGGAGAGGGACATCGTGCCAAGTCCTCAGAAAACAAGTGGGAGTGACACCCTGGTGAGGGCGAGATCTGCTGGGAAGGTGTGTGGATGTGGAGAGTGCCCACAGCACAGGTGTGAAGAAAAGCCACCTTTGCTGCCAAAGGACGAGAAAGCGTCTTGGATGGTATTGAGGGAGAGCAGGTCCCACAGGCTGCCCCGAGCTGGTGTGTGTGCACCTGGTGATGTTGGAGGGAACATGGACAGATGTCCTTTTACCACACATTGAGCTGTGCCCTCCAGATTCCTCACCTGTCAGGTCTGAAGTTCTCTGCTGTGTGTCTTCTACTTCCTCATTATGTCAGATGTCAACACGAAGCAGAGTGACCGGGTGCTGGGAGTCATGCATGCTCACAAGCTGATTTTGGTGGCATTTGTGCAAACCCATGCAAAGGAATGGGTGTTTCCACTGGAATGTAAGCATGTGCCAGTGTATGGCCTCCAACTCTGACCCAGATCAGAGGGAATGTGGAAGAATGTGGTAAGAGCCAGGTAGAGTTAGTCAGGAAAGTGAAGCAGGCCAATCATAACATAAACAAAAGTGGGTGTAGACTGCCAGGGAAGGGGTGGGCTTCAGCTCCTCGAGCCCCCACCTGGGTAAGCTGCATGTAGACTTGTAGACATGATTGTAAACTGGCTGCTCCGTGCCTGGCAGTTTCCAGGGAGACAAACAGAAAGATGGTCCCTCATGAAGTACACCACTGAAAGAGGCACAGAACCCATTCTCACTGATGTTGCTTTTCTACTGACAAACAGACCTCAGCTTTTCTTTTGAGAACCAAGGGTGACTTGCCACATGCTGGAGCCAGTGTTCCAGCTGGCACTCGCTGTAGGTGCACATTCACTTTGTGGGCTCTGAGGTGGGCAGGGAAGCCGCCCATGCAGCAGGGAAGGAGCTGTGGCTGCTGCCCACAGGCCAGGTGGGCTCTGGAGAGGCTGTCCAGCAGCTCCCGGGGTTCCGGCTTAGGGACCAGTCCCCATCACAGTGGGGTGGGGCCCTGGGGGGCTGAGACTGGGCATCCTGCTGCCCACTTGCTTTGTGGGTACTGTGCACAGCTGATGGCAGTCCCGCCTTTTGCTCCTTTCTCCTTTCTAGTGTACAATGGCCTAAGCACTCTTACTTATCTGAAAGGACGCCAACAGGAGACATCTAAAGCCTCAGCCCCAAGGAAAACCCTGCCCTTTGTAAAGGTATGGAAGTTACCATGCCTCATTATTTTTGTGTGTCCAGGGCTGGGACAAGGCCCAAGATCACCTGTGGCCAGGACCACTTAGTCATAGTCCTTTGCTTCTGTGTGGACATGGCCCAGTAAGTGTGCATGTGGGTGTGAGGCAGTGCCTGTGTGTGGTGTGTGTGTGAGTGTGTGGTGGTTGTGGGTGGGGTGATATATGTGTGTGGGTGTGAGGCAGTGCCTGTCTGTGAGTGTGTGTGAGTGCGATGTAGGTGATGTGTGGGTGTGGTGATTTGTGGGTGATGTTTGTTTGTGAGGTTGCATGTATATATGTGATGAGTGCCTGTTTGTGTGTAAGTGTGTGTGGGAGATGTGTCTGTGACAGTATTTGAGTGATGCGTGTGTAATGTGTGTGTGTGCATGCATGTATGTGAGATGCAGTGCTTGTGTGTGTGCATGGATGTGAAACGCAGTGCCTGTCTGTGTGAGTGTGTGCAGGTGTGAGCATGTGTGTGTGTGATACATGGTGTGAGTGTGTGTGTATGATGTGCGGTGTTAGTGTATATGGGTGAAATGTGTGTGAATGGGCTCCTGTGCATGTGTGGTTATGTCTGTAGCTGTGTGTTTCAGCATTTCTGTGTTTCCTTGTCACAGATGAGTCAGCCAGCTTACTCCTTTAGGTCAATCATTTCTGCACCTGTGAGAGAGCTCAGCTGCCTGAGGGTTTCTGACGGGTTATTTCTAAGCAGGGTTTGTAACCCTGCTGAGTGCTGAGGGTAACAGGTGACTTCACTTTCTCTGGAGGGTTCTCACTGCAGCCTTGTGGGATTCAGGCACAGAGCCCCTTGTAATGATGTACAAACAATCAGGGGTGGACACCCCCTTTAGTGACAGAGACAGTGTCTGCAGGCATCTCTTGCCTGCACTTCTACTGGACCATCTGAGACACAGTGAGTGGACACCATTACTGCTCCAGCCGGCTCCCACCACAGACACGGCCGCTGACAGTAACCCCAAAGAGGAATGAGAACGTGTACATGTAACGTGTTCTGTCACTTTGCTACAGCTGCCATCACAACACAGCACCACAGATGGTGCGGCTTAAACAGGACACTCATTTTCTCATAGTTCTGGAGGCCGGAAGTGTGAGATCAAGGGGTGGTCAAGGTTGGACTCTCCTTAGGCTGCTGTCTTCAGCTGTCTCCTTTGTGTCTTTACATGGTCTTTCCTCCACTTGTACTTTTGTCCTGTTGTCCTCATTGTACAAAGACACTGGTCACAGTGGCTTAGGGCCCACCCCAGTGGCCTCATTTAACAGGACCTCTCTGAAGCCCCTCTGCAAATACAGTCACATTCTAAGTTCCTGGGGGTTAGGGCTTCAACACGTGAAATTGGAGGAGCCACAATTCAGGCCACAAAAGGAGGATTGGGAGGAAGGGTAGCTCCCACCAGAGGTCCTTTCACAGGACCCAGGGGACTCTTGACCAGAGGTAACTTGACCCAAAATTGACTGCGAATGGAATGGATTTTGTTTAACAATAAGGACAGTGTCAACAACTACATCTTTTTCATTTTGTGATTTGTCTCTTACGCCCTCACAGGAAATAGATGAGGACCGCAGCCGATTTGCACTTGGGTAAGTGTGTAAGCTCTCTGGAGTGGTTTTAGGTATCTGAGAAATAGCTGTGTACCCGTCTTAACTCACATTGCTCAATAAGTAATTCATATTTGATTGGATTTTAAAATACTGTGACAAGAGCACAGAAAACAAAATTGCTTGACTGAGTATTATGGACACAGATAGCCTAGTGCGTTCCCTTACTTGAACAATGACACTCATTCTTCACAAGTAACAGCTGAGCTAATGTGTGCAGGCAGAGACCTCTTTCTTTCTTCCTTTCTCTCTCTCTCTCTCTTTTTTCATTGTTTCAACGTGTAACATGCTAAGCCTGGAGGCTCCATCAATGGTTTGCAACAGTGTTTGGTTAAGAAGGCCTTGTCCTTGTCACTCACTCCTGAGGCCATTCTGCTCAGGAAGTATGTTCCCAATGACAGCTGTGCCCCAGGAACACTGCACACAGGCCAACCCAAGGTGTCCACGACTTTCCCACCTTGAATTTCACAAAGGAAGAAAGTGGCTCATGAGAAAGATCGTGATTGAGGTTCAAGCACATGTTTTAAAGAGCACACTCTGTCCTCATGACAAAACTGTGTGCAGCCATGAAAAGTCACCTTCTCGTAGAATGTTGAGGACCAGGAAACATCCTCACAACACGG